GTGTGTTGTTGTGGGTGGGTGGGGGGGGGGGGGGGAAATAAAATCCCTGTGGACTGATCTTATTCTGCGAGCGTTTAGTGTACAACAATTTGGTACTAGTACCCGATCTTCCCCCATCCAGAACCGGAACATATGGCTTACGACTATGAGAAAATATCTACAGACTTCTATCTCTGATCTTTGATCACGGATCTTAGATCGTGGATCTAACAGCCTGCTATGATAATGCAAAAAAAAACAAAACAGAAAATAAACTGTAAAACTGCAACTATACTATAGTCTCCCAGCCATTTTGGTCATGGCCGACATCTCGAATGCTTCCCATCGCGGGCGTCTCGGGGTAGAAGCAGGAAAGGGATGAGGAGACCTGCCGGTTGGAAGTTGCTGTGCGTGTTGACCCTTGTTGGTGAGGGGAATGAGAGTCCTGGGATCTCCTGCTACTCGAGCCCCTGGATCTTGGGCGCCCCTGGGGCCTAGGTATGTATTCTGGGGGAAAGGAGAGCGGGCGGTGCTGGTGTCTCTCCCGGCTCTAAGTGGGTAGGGGAAGACCAGATCTCCACCCCTCTCCCCTGTCTCCAGACACTCATACCTTCCTCTGCGTCTCCCTCAGCGTCCTGTCGGGCAGTGCCGGGTATGGCGGACATAGCCGTCGGCGATGCAGGTGAGCCTGTGGAGCTGGAGGTCGGGGATGATAAAATGTCCCCCTGCTGGCTCGATCGATCCGGTGTGCCGACTAGGTGGCAGGCCGAGTCGCGCGGCATACGAGGGCCCGGCAGCGCCATCTTGTTTAAGTGCCCGTCTGCCGCCTCGTGAGGATCGAAATATGTTTTGATGGACGTCGGCCGTTTTTGTTTCTTCCCCAGTGGCCGAGTCGATTTAGAGGACCTGCGATGTCCATGCTTGGCCATATTGGGAGCTGATTTAGGCTGTCAGTAAGCTCTATATTGCGGTTCTGGACGGAGCTCTCAGGCAACACGTCTTGCTCAGGTCGCCATCAAGCCACGCCCCTACTTTTTTATTTTAATAGTACAATACATAAAACAAACGTATACATCCATAATTGCATATTAAAACAGCAATACAAAACAAATAATACAATAGACCCATACAAAAATAAAAAAAATAAAAATTAATTTTCCTCTCAACATACCATATCACTTAAACCACATTACTCCTAAAAATACCAATAGTAAATAGGGAAGGTATTATACCCAAACTCCTTTACTATATTCAATCCACTTATCCCACATTTTACCATATTTATCCATAGTATCTCTATGTTTGAACATAATTCCCTCAAATCTAACCACTTTATCTAGTTCTTTCTTCCACTCCTCTACTGTGGGAGGCGCTGCTGAAATCCACCTAAGGGCTATACTACACCGAGCTACAAATAGTGCCCTCGTTATTGCCATCTTTGTGTAATACTCCACCTTTATGGATCCAAAAATACCCAGGATACATAACAAGGGATTAGTAGTGATTTGGACTCCAAAGGCTATATTTATTATATCCACTATTTTCTGCCAATATCGTTTCAACTTCGGGCATCGCCACAGCAAATGTATTAACGAACCTGGTTCAACCCCACACTTTGGACATTTAGAATTTTCCTGAGTCCTATCCTATGTAGGAACTCAGGGGTCCGGTATGTTCTATGTACAATATAAATCTGCGTCAATTTATGCGATGCAGACGGTGAAACTAATTGGATTGAAAGCAACGCCTCCCTCCAAAGGGCTTCATCCAGAGGCCCCAGATCCTTTTCCCAGCCCACTTTACATTTCATATCAGAATGATGAGTCAATCAACATGAAAACTTACTTTTGACTTATGTGGGGGGCTGTGTTGGTTTTCCTCTCTACGCGTTTCACTGTATTCACTTCCTCAGGATAGATGTGTTCTCTAAAACTAGTGAATGTAAATGTAAAAGGTAAGTATATGTATTTATGCAGTAATCCAAACATCACCTAGGGTCTGTAATTCATCTATTGTTGCTTACGCCTTTTGAACACACAGGGACGCCTGATAAAAGCAATATATAATTACCTTTTTCCTCTCTTGAGGAAGCTAGTACAGCAAAATGCATTGAGATGTAAACCCACCCTGATGGCCAAAGAAGGAGTTGAAGCCAGAAGCTGCAGCAGAAGAGGACAGATCCTGGCTTCCAAAGTCAAAGATCACAGGAAAGGGTGCCACCTAAATCCTTTGTGTAGTTCATAGATAGGCCATGGAATAAAGTTAGGACTGCTGTTATACATGAGCTTGTTTTAACCCACTGATTATCATGATGCATTCCATAGGTTATTGGTTGGAAGGGAAGGAGACAGCTATGATGTTTAAAATATGCCCTCAGCAGTCAAAGATTTTGCTGCAGCTTTACAGACACATTTAGAAACATTTAAAACATATCTGCTTGTCCCTGTAAGAGGAATGCTCACATATCATTCATGTTTCAACTAGACTGCCTTGCTCTAGGCTGGTTTCGTGACAGCATGATACTGTTATCAGGAACATAGTATACGCATGATGCTACCTAACCTAAGACTGATTCATGATTTCTACCAGTATTATGATTTATGTCACAGGATTGAAACTGAATACAGAATAGAGGAGTTTTAGACAATAATGTGACATCTATAGTTGCTAGCTCCCGGCCACACATGTGATGCAGTGTGTTTATGCTGATTTTCAGTAGGGCAGCCATTACATTTTAATGGGCTGCCTACTGCATCGAAATAGAGCATTAGTCTTTTAAAAAAAAAAAATTCATCACACCAACACATACAGTAATATCTTACCATCCATTGTAGTGCAATGCAACGCACATGCCACAGATAGGTCTGTTGGGGTGCCATTAGGAAATAATGGCACCACAGATTTCACACGCGTTCCTGCATCTCATAGATGTAAACTGGGGTTCAGCAATATTTTGGGTTAGTTTGTGAGTAGCTTTCACCTTTAATGTAAACATTTTCTACAGAGAGTTTATCCCCTTCCTGTCAGTTGTACACATTTATGTGGCAGCTTGGAGTGGGCATTATTCTGTGCTGTCACATACAGTATATGCAAAGCTGTTTTGTGTAGTGAGTGCGCTTAATCGGGACAGCTCTGTCACTGACAGCTCCCAGTAACAAAGTGAATATTCAGGGCGCAGTAGTAAAGGCTTCCAAACTTGTGATCTGATTGATCACATGTTCAGGAAGAGCATCAAGGCAAAATGTTCACTATTGTTTCTGGGCACTTCTACATTTGCACACCACAACTAATGCACATGTATATTGGAAAGCGCTGCGCAAATTGTTGGCGCTATATAAATCCTGTATAATAATAATAATAATAATGATAATGCTCTCAGTAGGGAGGGGGAGTGGGCACTGATGCTCTGTGGAGGGAGAATGGGGACACTGGTGCTTGATGAGGTTAGGGTGGGGGACACTGGTGTCAGTGGGGGTCATTGGGGGGTCACTGGTGTTTAATAAACTAAATACAGATCTACGCTCTGTCTCGCACTGATGTCTCCGTCTGCTGAAACTATACTGCTCACTGGAACACTGGAGATCACTCCACCTGACAGAGCAGTAAAGAAGCCAAAGCCAATGTAGGAATGAGCATTCCAGCACATGGCCAGCAGTAGGACACCAGGATGCCAGGATTTTGTTAAAATCCCAGAATAGAATCTGAGACTTTTGGGAGATATGGCTTAGGCCCAAAGAGATCACAAATAATTAGCAATTAAGTGAAATGAAGATGACAGGGGCACATAGAAGATGGTGTTCTGACTAACACCCCCAGTGAGATGCTTCCTTAGGCAACCGCCTCAAGCTGCCTCATTATAGGACAGCCCTGATGTTGATTATAAAAATGTTTTATAATAATAAAGATGATTTCAGTTGCAATGTAATCTATACAATTGAATAATCATCTTTACTTTATAAAACATCTGATTTAAAAATTACCCAAGGACTGTAAAGTGTTCTTTCAGTTTGTTGTGGCTGTTTGTTAGCTTGAGGTTATTGTGTCTGATTCCCTTTTAATTCAAAATTCCTTTTAAATCCCTGTTAACCGTGGTTACTTCTCAAAACAACAAAAGAATGCGTGTGCCCAAAGGACTGGTATTATTTAAAAAGAAACTGAAGCAATGGTTGACTGATTCATCTATTTTTCCATGTTATTGTTCACTCTATTTATACATTTTTATATTATTCTCCTCTATGTGTAGAGAACACCTGGCTTTGCAAATATCTATTATGGATGAGAACCAAAACAATGGCTTCAGGGCTGAAATCTACTTAGCCACTAACCTAAATCAGACTACAAAAAACATGTTGTGTCAGGAGCAGTGGTGGGAGGCAGTGAAGAAGAATTGTGTAAGGGGAGTGATTATCCTGCTAATCCTATGTTATTCTAAGGAACACCACTAGGAGAACATCTGATGGGAGTTTAAATAAGGCTGATAGACATCACAGTTCATTTAGGTGTTGGACTGCTCAGATACTCACCAACTTTTTTATACTCAGCTTACAGAAAAGTTTCTGCTAGCTGCAGTATCAGCCTTATTATTAGATATTAATTAATACAAAGGCAGAACTACTGTATCTTGAAGCAGTAGCCTTACATCCCTGTTGTAGAAGATGGCCAATTCAGGCTTACAGCTCTTAGGATTTGCCTTGGCTTGTTTAGGATGGATTGGGTTTATAGTGGCAGTAGCTATTCCCCAATGGAAGATGTCCTCTTTTGCCGGAGATGCCATCATCACAGCACAGGTGACCTATGAAGGCTTGTGGATGTCCTGTGTCATGCAGAGTACAGGGCAGATGCAGTGCAAATCCTATGACTCTCTGCTGAAGTTAGGCAGTAAGTATCAATTTTCTGATTTATGAATTTATGATAATTTTACTAGATGTTCTAATGCACACATACAAAAAGCATATCTATCTATCTATCTATCTATCTATCTATCTATCTATCTATCTATCTATCTATCTATCTATCTATCTATCTATCATTTATTATTTTAAACTACTGGTGGGATGTATAGAAATAGTCTTTTTTTCAATGTATTGTATAATATTTTATTGAGCTGTACTGGCTCAATAAATAGTTACAACAGTTTAACTTCAATATGTCAGATTGGAGTGCATCACGGGAGTGAACTTGGAGTGGTGACTACTTTACAACTCACACAGGGATCATGGAGATCAAAAGTAGCCACCCTCCAGAAGGAAGGACAGTGTCAGCATGAATTCAGAGATGATTTGGGGGTCTACAGCTGAGTGATACACAATTAAGAGAACTGAGTTTTTTGTCACTTTAAACCAGAATGATATTTGATCAATAGATATAGTTTTCTGGCTTCACACATTGGAACATGTGTATTTACTTTAAAAAAAAAGCATACCCTACTATTCATAGACTGCCAATCCTGACCTTTTGGGATTTATTTAATAAGCGCAAGACAACCAGTGCAGTAACCCTTGGCAACCTAACAGCACACCACTCACTTTACATGTTTTCAATGCATAGATTTGCTGATATCTGAAGTCATTTTACTTTTCACCATGTGAGCAAAATTGAATTATGCAAAGTTATGCAGTAGTTGGAGGGTTAAAGATAACTTGACTTTGGTCTGTTCATCAAAGAAATTATATGATGCTCTTCAATGCACGGTAAATGATTCCTACAGTTGAATGATGTGAGATACTGTAAATTAGATATTTCAGGTTATTGACAATAATTTTCTTATGTCAAGTAATCTACAAAAACAATATGAAAAGTTAACATTTGTCTTGACCTGGCTGACATGGCTAAACTACATGAGCTAACAGCAAAACCTGAGTATCACTCATGATCAGCTGTTAAAGCTACAAGAATTGCAGCTATGGCTACATGCACCATCTTGTGATGCCAAAATTGTGCTTACTGTATCACAGCTAATTTAGACTATGCTCTTTAATGTTACTGGCTTTGTTGACCTTATTCTCCCTTTAGCAATTTATTGCAGACAATGAAACTGTTCAGCCATTACTAAAAGTTAAATATTCTAATGAAAATCAACTTCTGGCTGGCCAGCCAAATTTTATTATTTTGATATTTTTAAAATTAAAGTGCAAGTCGGGTCTAAACTTTTTTTTTATTTTGCTATGGTTTAGATTTAGCCTTTTTACTTATAACCGGAGCCCCATTAGAAAGATTTTCTATCACTTGATCCCCCAGTGACAACAGTTTCACCAAAGAGGAAGTGAGGAAAAATCTCAAGCAGCAACATAGACAGAAGTTAAAATGCATATTTAATACATCAGGAGAAGGTGTGTGATATAATAAAATATGTTTGTGTGCGGCTCTGTTGCAGAATTTTCTTCATGTCTTTTCACACCATTGTTACTGTGACCGTAAGAACTCCTTCACACCAGGCGCATTGAGCTGCGTTGATCAGCATTGAACATCATAGATAGAAGGACACATAGAAAACAATTGTTTTCATTGAGCCCTGTTCACACCCCACATGTGCCCTGGTGTACATTGTGCAAAATTGCAACTTAGAGTTAAATGAAAGAAAATTTCAATAAAGTATTAAAAAAAAGAGAAACAGTAAACAGTGTGTAATAATACATTGCACCGCCCCTTCCAACGCACACCAGTAGGCACACGTCATACAGGATCATAATATGTGCCCGATGGTGTGTATGTGCCCTAAGCAAGGGGAAATCTCTCTAACAGAACCCTGGATAGCAGCAAGAGCTCAATAGAGGTCGTAATCCTTCCCCACTCTATCCAAAGAAAAAAAGCTTTCGCTGGAAGCTAAAACGTATTGCTCTCTGTGTTGCCATTAGGGATATTTACCCTCTCTATTTCTTCTGGTGACTATTATCACTGAAAGTGAAATAAAATAAAAGAATTTAGAATTTTCACCAGAATAGAAATAAGGGAGAAATCGTCCCATGCGGACACTAGTTCTGGTGACAATCAGGGATTTCCCTTACTTTTTAGGGATTTTCTCTCACTTCCTGTTCCGGCTTTGAGACCGGAAAGGGAAATATCCCCAATGGGACACAGATGGCAAAAAAAAACCTAACAGGGATTGTAATCCTCCCTTACTCTATCCAAAATAAAAAAATAAACGTTTTTGCCTTTAGTTCCACTTTGAACACAGTAGAGAAAAAGTGCAATGTATTTGGTCAAATCGCACAATTCCCATTAAATATAACCTTAGTATTTTGGCAATCAAAGCAATACTTACCCAGGCTGTATTGATGTTTCTGAAAAGTAAACACATATTTCCTAGGGGAAGGTTGTGCTTGGATGAGTCGATGATTAAGAGAACATGAAGCAGAGTTGTTACAAATGCCTGTTATTATTTGGTAAAAGTTGCCTGGAAGTTCATAGTTTTCAGAACTTGGTACCATTCCATGTAAAATTATATCAATCTTTGTTACAGCAGCTCACCTGTGATGAGACGAGAATGAAAAATACCAGCTCATTTGATTTCATTTGACAAGTGTGTACACAAATTGCCAGAATGTAATAATGTCTTTAGGAATTGTTCTGATTCCGTAGCATACATTTTCATATATATCCCTATGCAGTGATCTATTATATCAGATATTCTGATTTGAGAGCCTTCACATTCATATGTATGCTCATCTACAGCAATCTATCACATCAGACATGCCAGTGCAAAGGAAATGAATGAGATTTATCACTTTCATCTACAAGAGGACATCTATGTGTAACAATATTTCTTACATCTCCCTATTCTGCCAGTTTGTGGACCAGGAATAGGAAAAATCTAACAGTCAACTACTCTGTAGGTGGATAATGGCATTTTGCATAAGTTATTCAAATTCAAGATGCACCTTGGGCACTGTTGTATCAATGGAGGGATGCAGCCCAGTTCATTATAACTATGAGCCAAGGGTCCCACTGCTGCATGGCAGGAGTTTTCTGACAACATCTCTCTGTGTTTCTATGCAGAGATAATCCTGTCCCATGCTCACTCAACATACATGCTTCTGTGAGAAGACATGGTCAATAAACACTAACCAATGATGCCATAAGAAGTGGCTCCAAATTCTTTTCATTGCATAGCCCCAACAGATGAAAAAGGTTTAGAAATGCTCCATACATTTGAACAGTAGTATGCACCAAGTATCAGAAGTCTGTTTTGGCTGCTTTGAAATTATGTTACCTTGTTACCTGCATACTTCCTGTGTGATCCCAAAAAGCCCTCTTAGTTCTTACCTTGGACTAAAGAATGATTAGCTATAATGTTAGAGAGATCTGAGAGTAGGAATTGTTAAGTGGTTTAGCAAAATCCATTGGGCAGGGCTGACAACACTCAGTCCACAAAAAGCTGTGTCTTGTCAACACACAACAGCACTTTGTATTTCTGGTAGATGAACAGCAGTTTGTTTGTATTTGCATAAAACACATAAGGTATAGTAAGGTATAGTAAGGTATAGTAAAATACACTTCTCTGCTGCATTTGCTTCTAAACTCAAGAAGACGTCTGTAGTAATGCTTGGCAAAGGTTTTTTTGTAATAAAATCGAACCCTAAACTTAAAATATAGTAGGGGTAGCTTCAAATGGTAAGAACTCCTTACTGGTGGATGTTGACTAGGCGTGTACAATAAAGTAAGCTTAAAATGTCCTCAAAACCGGAGTGTATTAGGCAAATATCTACTTCAGGTTTGGCCCATCTTTTCCTGTCTCCTGTGCCTCTATCGGTCATTGAGATGTTAGTAATGGACCAACTGTAAGGTGCCAGAAGCAGGTGTGGCAGCCAAAGCACCAATTACTTAGCCTCTGCAGATATTTTTACAACAGAGCACCACAGGGTTTTGGAGGAAGGGTTCATACTTTTAAGTTGGCATGTAATGAAGAGCATGGTGATTGGTCACATAGCAATATCACTAAGTCAGACTGCTAAGTGATTATATTTAATATGTTTACTGTTTAAAACAGTATACTCCTTTTTAATTGGGGCAGGATTCTTTCATACACCAAATTTGACCTAACTACATATTTATAAATCAGTAAATGTGATATTCACTAAGCATTCATTGCAGTTAAATCTTCCTTGTGCATGTTCTTTTTAACACAGTGAATGATTCATCTGCAGTGAATGTTTGGTGAATATACAATTCACTGATTTCTAAGTATGCCCTTTAATATTTATTCACGTTAACCAAGGCAGAGTGGGAGATTATATATGTTCACACTTCCTCTCCCTGTTGAGAAAGTAGTGAATTCCAGGATCTCATTCAGGCATCAAGGAACAGACATGATAGATCATGTTGAGACATTGCTACACAACCTAGTAAAGGGCCCTCACCTAGCTTTTTAAAAATCTTTTTCTTTCCTTTTTTACCAAGCAACTTGCGAAACAAGAATTATTACAGCCAGCACAGAAGCTGTGGGGCAATTATAAAGCACATGGCAATAAAAGTGTCAAACTGAACCACTCTCACATGTATAATGATTTTATTGAAATGGTTATTAAACTTTAACTGTGCTCTGTTAGGAAACAATTGTCAGGTCTCTTTTATCCATAAAAGAAAAAGATTTGCAGCCAGAGACATGAAAGCTGGGTTAAGTCAGGATTGCTGATTTTGTGATATACTTGCAGCATTAACAGTTTAATAATGGCTAGTTCCCATCCTTGTCTACCCTAGGTGAGCATCTGGACAATGCAAAACAAGTCTCCTTTCATAGATTAAAACTGACTTCTAGACAAGATCAGACCTGTCAAAACAGTCACCCTGGAGAGCTGCATATTTTCAACAAAGCAGCTCTCCTCCCAAACATAAAAGACAAGAATTAACAAAACCATCAGCTTTTCCAGTAGAACATTCCT